AATACAGGGGCACTATCACCTCCCTGGTCCTGCTGGCCATACTATTCCTGATACAAGCCAGGATGCCATTGGCCTTCTTGGCTACCTGAGCACACTGTTGGCTCATGTTCAGGAGGCTGTCAACCAACACCCCCCGGTCCTTTTCTGCCAGGCAGCTCTCCAACCACTCTTCCCCCAGCCTGTAGTGTTGTATGGGGTTGTTGTGACCCAAGTGCAGGACCCAGCACTTAACCTTGTTGAACCTCATACAATTGGCCCTGGCCCATTGATCCAGCCTGTCCAGGTCCCTCTGTAGGGCCTTCCTACCCTCCACCAGATCAACACTCCTGCCCAACTTGGTGTCATCTGCAAACTTACTGAGGCTGCACTCAATCCCCTCATCCAGATCATTGATAAAGACATCGAACAGGACCAGCCCCAATACTGAGCCCTGGGGATTACCACTCACGACCAGCCGCCAACTGGATTTGACTCCATTAATCGCCACTCTCTGGGGTCAGCCATCCAGCCAGTTTTTAACCCAGTGCAGAGTGCACTTATCCAAGCCATTTAACAGCTGGAAATATGTTGTTGGGAAAAATAAGAATTTATAAAAATGCAAACTAAGAATCAATAGTTTTGTCACAAAACTCATGAGCATGACAAATTTGCATCTTTGATTTTGACATATTTATGAGAATACAACTTCTGGAAGCTAAAGGTGAAACTTTAGCTCTTGAAGTTAATAAGGATTTTTGTTGCTTTCAGGAAAGCCAGGCTTGCATCACAGTACATTTTACCAACAAATATTACACAAAGAATACAAATGTCCTACAATAGAAACTAATAATTTAATGTGTGATTTTTAGCTTTGATTGCTATAATTTACAGAATTCCTATCTTTCTTTTATTTTTGTTTTAACAGTTCAAAACTAACTATGAAAAGAGAATGTTTAAAGTAGATATTCCATCCAATGACACATCCACAGTGGCTTCCATAATAAACAATGTGTCAGAAGCAATGGAAACCCTCACCCGAATGAAAGAGGAAATAGTTCCTGTTCCAGGGTCTGTAAATGGAGTGAATGCCCTTGGCTTGGTGGTTTTCTCAATAAGCTTTGGCCTGGTGATTGGAAGCATGAAGGAGCAAGGTCAGGCATTAAAAGACTTCTTTGATAGTCTTAATGAGGCTATCATGAGATTGGTAGCTCTAATCATGTGGTAAGTACCTTTTTGATAAATTCCATTTTAAGTTACTAACTATTTTTTCACCACAGTCAGGCATTGTATAGCAAGAGTCTGTTTGGCAGGAAGTCAGACAGTAAGATCTTAATAACCTTGTAGCTTTTGTCATAAATGAATCATAGAATCATAGAATCATAGAATCATAGAGTGGTTTGGGTTGGAAGGGACCTTAAAGATCATCTAGTTCCAACCCCCCTGCCATGGGCAGAGACACCTTCCACTAGACCAAGTTGCTCAAGGCACCATCCAGCCTGGCCTTGAACACTTCCAGGGATAGGACATCCACAGCTTCTCTGGGCAACCTGTTCCAGTGCCTCACCACCCTCATAGTGAAGAATTTCTTCCTTATATCTGACCTAAATCTACCCTCTTTCGGTTTATAGCCATTACTCCTTGTCCTATCACTACATGCCCTTGTAAAAAGTCCCTCTCCAGCTTTCTTGTAGGCCTCCTTCAGGTATTGGAAGGCTGCAATAAGGTGTCCCTGGAGCCTTGTCTTCTGCAGGCTGAATAACCCCAACTCTCTCAGCCTGTCCTCATAGGAGAGGTACTTCAGCCCTCTGATCATCTTTGTGTCCCCCCTCTGGATCTCACTCCAGAAGGTCCATGTCCTTCTTAAGCTGGGGGCCCCAGAGCTGAACGCAGTACTCCAGGTGGGGTCTCACCAGAGCAGAGTAGAGGGGGAGAATCTCCTCCCTCGACCTGCTGGCCACGCTGCTTTTGATGCAGCCCAGGATACAGTTGGTTTTCCGGGCTGGAAGCGCACATTGCTGGGTCATGTTGAGCTTCTCAGCAACCAACACCCTTCTCCTCACAGCTGCTCTCAATCCATTCTCTGCCCAGCCTGTATTTGTGCTTGGGATTGCCCCGAATCCATGTGCAGGACTTTGCTCTTGGCCTTATTGAACTTCATGAGATTCACACCTCTCAAGCCTGTCAACGTCCCTCTGGATGGCATCCCTCCCCTCCAGCATGTTGACTGCACCACTCAGCTTGGTGTCGTCAACAAACTTGCTGAGGGTGCCCTCAATCCCGCTGTCCATGTCGCCAACAAAGATGTTAAACAGCACCAATCCCTATACCGACCCCTGAGTAATGCCACTCATCACTGGTCTCCACTTGGACACAGAACCGTTGACTGCAACTCGTTGAGTGCAACCATCCTGCCAATTCCTTATCCGCCAGTGGTCCATCTATCGAATCCATGTCTCTCCAATTTAGAGACAAGGATGTTGTGCGGGACAGTGCCAAATGCTTTTCACAAGTCCAGGTAGATGATGTCAGTTGCTCTTCCCTTACCCACCAGCGCTGTAACCCCATCATAGAAGGCCACCAAATTTGTCAGACACGATTTGCCCTTAGTGAAGCCATGTTAGCTGTCACCGATCACCTCCTTATTTTCAATGTGCCTTAGCTTAGTTTCCAGGAGGATCTCCTGCATGATCTTGCCGGGCATAGAGGTGAGACTGACTGGCCTGTAGTTCCCTGGGTCTTGAACTCAAGAACTGTAATTCTGTATGGCAATAATTTGCCCAAACATACGTACTCTTCTGGTGTGTTTAACTTTTGACATGAGAAAAATCAGGGTCTATGGCAGAACTTGCTAAGCTTATACAGAGACATTCTATGTCTTCATAAAGATAGAGATCACAACAGTATGCTATAAAAGTTTCCTTATATCCTAATCTGTCTTCACTGAAGGAAACCGACAAACTTCTTCCATAACCTTATTTCTACACAGCAAGACCTCATTGTCATTAGTTTCCAAAATAACTGGCTCCTGCAGCTGTGTAGCATATACATATGTCCTTGCATTTTAGCTGCACTGCTTGCACATACACATAATTTTCCTACTTTATCGTGTTGAGTAGGTAAATAAAACCAATACCTTCTCCCTCAGACATTAGCCATGAAGTCTTTTCAACAGTGAAGATTCATTATTTGTCAGATAGAAGGTTAATTATGAAAAGAAATTATGTCTTGTTGCCTTCTTTACTACAGAAAACAAACAAATCAACTCCGAAAGCCTACCCAAGAGCACACACACATATGTTGCAGCACTAGATACAAAACTAAAAATAAGCATTTTTCCAGTAACTAAAATTCTATTCTGCCAGGAAATATCTTACGAAGCAAAAATCTTTTCTCCTCCTTTACAAGCATCCTTAAGATGATAAAGCAGTGGATGAGAATTGTTGCTTCTGAGAAATTTCTACATGGATTTGACAGCTTATAGTGCAATTGAGATACACTGGATAAATTTTGTTCTGTGGTAACTTACTGTGAAAAGACAAGTGGACATTTATAGAAATAAGGCTCTACCAAAAGTCCAGCTGCAGCAGAATTATGTTAGAGTTTTATGCTCAACACTAGCTCTTTCTTCATCTATAGCTGTGCTTACCAATAGGAAAAAGCAGATCATACCACCTTTGTTGCTGCCCCACAATGCAGCTAACCTCTGTCATACAGATGGCTTCATGCTGAAGTATTTATCCGGTGCTCCACTGGATAAAATGGGGCATGGCCAGAAGCAGCTTGAAATCATCAAAAGTTATCAGCCTTCTGTATGGGTTCCTTCCCTCAACAGCATAGGAAACAGCACTGGTGAGATACCAGAATTGCACACTTGGTATAGTCTACAGGTATGTTGGCAGAGCCTTCATTCATGTAGGCAGAATTATAATAGAATTGGCTAAACTAGCTTTTAAATGACACTTGAATTCCAAAGAGAGCTCATCTCCCTACATGTCTGAAAGGTATGCCATACATCTTGAAATCCTTACCAGATCCTAAATCCAATGGAGCCTATCAGAAACACTCACTGCTGACGTTTAATCCAGGCTGAACTGTTAAGAGTCAAAGAGTTAAACTTTTAAACTGCTTCTGAATAATTGCAGTCATCCTAACAGTGAAATCTTACATTCATGCATACATATAAACACAAAAGGTGTGGATGAGAGAGTGAATTTCTACTTTGTTCAGTACAATACTGATTTGATTTCTTGTTTGCAGGTATGCTCCACTTGGAATCCTCTTCTTGATTGCTGGAAAAATTGTTGAGATGGAAGATATGGGCGTGATTGGTGGTCAGCTTGCCATGTATACTGTGACAGTTATCATCGGTTTGCTAATTCATGCTGTCATTGTCCTACCTCTTCTCTACTTCCTGATCACTCGTAAGAACCCTTGGGTATTTATTGGAGGCTTAATCCAGGCATTAGTCACAGCTTTGGGAACATCTTCCAGGTATAATACAATATTTTAAGGCCATATTGTTTTTTATAATATTACTGGTTTGAGAAAAAAATTTGCCTAATGTAATTGGTTAACTCTGTATTCAAGTATTCACTTGGGCACTTCATTTCAGTTCTGCTGCTCTCCAATAAAGACAATGGATAATCATTATGATTTTATTGACCTGAACTTTGTTTTCTATAAGAATCCCTGAAGAGAGATGTAATGAGTCTGTTTGGTGATGCAGACTCTATGGCCGGAACCCTTGTGACTTTGATTAGTCTTGGTGCTTGAGATTTTGAAGTAGTTTGTAACAGCTTCCTGGAAAAGGATGCAACTGGCAAAGGATGTGCATGGCAAAATGGAGCAGCAAATAGGAAAGTTCAGAGGGGATTCTGAGAGACCTTGAGAGCCCTTATCGGCAGCTGACATTCTGTGCTCAAAATCCTGGTAGCCAGTGATGGATATACAACCTGCAACAGAAATGCCACTTTTGCTCTTTGTTGATGAAATCATAGGTGCATCACATGAATAAAAAACCTGTTTGCATTTATGATGAAAGGAAACATTATTGTAATCAAATATACATTTCTATACTATATGACCTTTCATAAAACACCTTTCATTTGAATAGATTTTAAAAGTGCCTCCTAAAGACAGATGTTTTAAGTCAGATATTCTGTATTACCAAATTCAAATCCCTGGTGTTTGGGATTATTTTGAAGATCTGGATGAGAAGCTATTGTAACCATTAATGTAGAATCTGATTAAGTTTTGTATAAACAAAAAAGCTTTTGAGGACTAAAAAAAATTATGACAGTATATTAATGGGTAGAGAGGGACAATTAATTTCACATTTGACATTTTGACATCAATCCTTGCAAATTTGTGAAATGCCTAAAAGGGAATTGGAGTAATAATGATTTTTAAAAGAAGATAATAAAACTAATGCCAGTCAACATAGTTTTAGAGAGAATAAAACAAAACTACAGACTTGGTGAGTAACAGTAATAGTGTTAAGAGGATATGTTCCAGCTTCTGTAAGACATTCCACTAGGCGCTGCTCAAGATTCTGTGTAAGAGCCTAGATTAATGCAAGAGAGCATACTATGTTGTGAGTGGATTTAAAAGCTGTTTAAAATTTAACTGTAAGTTGACTGTCATCAAAGAGATTTTCTAGCACAATCTTCCACAGCCCTTCTTTACTTTACATTTTATCAGTATTTTATTTTATCAATATTGATAAAGTTTCAAAGACATGAAAGTCCGTTAAGTAGTTGGCAATGACTGAGATGGAGTAATCTAAATTGCTGGGTCTTGAAAAACCTCTTTACTTCGATGTGATCAGATCTAGAGATACATCATGATGAACAAAGAGCCCAGCCAGCTCTTATAAAATGGCCACTTTATCCTTCCTTCTGAGGCAGTGCCTCTGAAAAGGAACTTGGCATCATGTGGGCTGAATGGACACTCTTGTAGCATATGAAGCCAAAGTGTTCAGTTGGGTTGGTCTTTATATGAAATTATCATGTATATCATATTTGGATGTAGCAGCAGGGGAGCAAGATTAAGTGGTGTAATGGGGCCTGGGTGGGACAGAGTTAACTTTCTTCATAGCAGCTTGTATGGTGCCGTGTTTTAGATTTGTGACCAAAACAACACTGATCACACACTGATGTTCTAGTTATTGACGAACAATATTTGCACAGTGTCAAGGCCTTCTCTGTTTCTCACTCTGCCCTCACAGTGAGTAGACTGAGGGGTGTGGAACGGGTTGGGAGGGCACACAACCAGGCAGATAACCAAATTACCCAAAGAGATATTTCCTGCCATATAACATCATGCTCAGCAATAAAAAGGGAAAAGAGGGGATTTTAGGGAGGCTAGCCACATTTTACTTGGGAACTGGCTGGGCATTGGTCTACCTGTGGGAGGTGATAAGTGATTACCTTCATGTCACTTGTTTTGTTTTGGGTTTTTTTTAAATCTCAACCCCTGTGTTTTCTTGCTTTTACTGTTCCTTTCTTCTTTGCCTGCCTCACTCAGGGTATGGGGGCAAGTAAGCTGTGTGGTGCTTAGCTGCCTACTGGTGTTAACCCACAAGTGGTAAAGTAATGTCATCATCCATCAAAATGTCCTTTCCAGGGGAGCCAACAACTAAATAAAACATGCTGTTTACAGAAGGCTTGAATAGCTCAATTTGTATAACTTCCGGAAAACAATGCTTAGGGATGATTCAATCATAACTCCATGACACAAAAAATGAGAAGTGGGAATTGTGACAAAATACTGAAGTTAGACACATTCAGACTAGGGACTACATAGACAGTGACAGTAATTAACCATTGGAAAACCTTTCCAAGAGCATTAGGAGAACCTCTATCATTTTAATAATGTTTAAACTCAGCATTTTCTAAAAAAATGTTCTGGTAGATCACATAAAAATTATGACAGAACAATCTCTCTTGTCACAATGGGTGATGCTCTTTTCATTCCCTCTTTGTAGAATTTGTATCATATATTACCTTCTTTTCTTTTTATTTCAGTTCTGCAACACTACCTGTTACGTTTAAGTGTCTAGAAGAAATAAATGGAGTGGACAAACGAGTTACAAGATTTGTACTCCCAGTTGGTGCTACAATTAATATGGACGGAACTGCTTTATATGAGGCTTTGGCTGCAATTTTCATTGCACAGGTTAACAACTTTGATCTGAACTTTGGGCAGATTATCACAATCAGGTACAGAAGCCATTATTACCTACATATAATAAAAGCACCTTTGTGATGACTCCTTCTTGCTGTTATATGCGGGATTAAACAAAAGCATCTAGAGCTAAAACCAGGAACTGCTACAGTAGCTGACTAACTATAATGATTTGCATCTTCTGCATAGAAGAGGCCCCCCAGCCCATATTCTCCATTAGGTAAACCTTTAAAAAACTGTAACTTGACACACCTATCACTGCACTTAGCAGAGTCAACAGGAACAGTTTTTAATGACTTTTAAATTTTCTTTCTTAAGAATTCATGCAGCTGTTGGGAGATGTAGACTTACAATCAGTACCAGGTTGTTTATAATGCATGTACAAAGCAGTAGCATAAAAGCATCACAGTGCTAATGCTAGGAGAGGTAGTGTTTTCCTGGTCCTGATGGGCTCAGGATACAAGTAGAGCAAGCTGTGTAAAGAGCAGTAATACCTTTTATTACACCAGCTGATAGAGGTGGAGAAGATAGGTATGTTTTCAAGCACACAAGCCTTCATGTTTGAAATAGAACAGCAAACAACCCACTAAGTAGCACTCGATGATAACTGATCTGAATTAATTTCATTATCTTACTCAAACAGCTTAAGAGAAAAGGGTGATGGGTACACGCACAGAAGAAAGAAATGTCAGCAAGAGGAGAGGGGGACACTGTAGGACAGAGAGACACGTATTTATCACACAGGAACACTGAAAGTTCAGATATGGTGAACTGGGAATGTAGAAGATTTTCAAGTAGTAGTGCTTCTCTCCATAAAACCCACCAGCTTAATTCAATATTCATCAACAGAAGGCAAAACTCTGCCTTCACGCTCTGAGGCAATAGTTCCACATTCATTGGTACTAGAGCTGCTCCCTGCCAAATCACCCGACAAAACAAATTCTTCCTAAACCAGGTGTGAATAAGCATATTTCTATCAAGTTACTAGACTGTATGATTCAGGGTTTCTGGCAGCTTTCTTTTTCCTGATGGCAGAATGCCAGCTGCTGGAGGACAGATACTTCACCTGGCATGAAGTTATAGTGAGATGGACATAGAATAAAAGCTCTTGCATTAGATCTGCCAGGACAAAATTACTCAGCTTTCATTTTAACATGTTTGAGTTTGCGGAGTTTGCTCAATGGGTGGGGGCGTGTAGCTTGTAATGTTTTTGTCTGGCCCTTAGCATCTAGTAGGGGATTTACCACCTAACAAAATCATGTTTCAAGGGTTCTGGATAAAGGTTTAGTGTAAACATTTTGGATTAAGATCCACACTCTCCTGCAGCTTTGCAGTGTCCAGATAAGGGACAGGGCTCATCTTTTTATTTACTAGTGAACAAATGCCTTCTTGTTTCATATCAGTCTTTAATGTTTCCCAGATGATAAGGAGAGTTTATTATGGAAGTCAATTAATTGCTCTTTCCATCTCTTTGCACAGCATCACAGCTACAGCTGCCAGTATTGGGGCTGCAAGCATTCCTCAACCATGGTCATTGTGCTTACTTCAGTAGGTTTGCCTACGGATGATATCACTCTTATCATTGCAGTGGACTGGTTCTTGTAAGTATTTTTATGGAGTTGCTAAGGGCTTAAACCATATTTAGAAGTGCCATAGCCAGGGAAATTCTGGCAATACTGCAGTCAGTGGTGTACTTCTTTTGCTGTGGAAAGCAGTTGAAAAGAAAAGTTAAAAAGAACCACAATTTCTTGTGATTAATGTATTTTCTTAAAGCAGATGGTGAGGGGTGTTACTTAACAATGGTTCGTCTTGTATGCAAAAGGGTTACTTAGAAACCTGGATCCTTAGGATACTAAGAAAACTTTCAGACACACTGTAATTAAATTAGCAAGGAATTGCTTTAGTCTTCTATTTTTTGTAGGATGGCAATGAAAACCTTTCCATCAATCAGGCTCAGAGCTGGTTCAGATCCGACTGAGTTCATTGCAGCCCTGCTGGCTATCTAATCTAGGAAAGATTCATATGTCTACCCCATGGACACAGAAATGAAAAACAGTTGTGTAACTCTCTTATCCAGCCACCACAATGTATTGCCCCTCAGTTTTTACATTCCTCTGTCTGCAGAAGACTGACATCTGTAGGTATATGGGGAAATCCCTTAGGTTCAGGAACTAAATCAAAGCCAGAAGGTTCCCTCTGACCTCTATTTCGTCTTATCCCTATTAGTTATAGTTTCCAGAGGCTTTTACCCTTCAGTCTTCTCAAGTGATCCCTGTAAGAAGTTGCCCGTATTATTATCAGAACATAATGTCTTCAAATGATTATCTAACCACATGCCCGCAGACTTATGAAGGTGCACACTTATCAAGTAACAGCGCCATCATCAAGCTGCCTCCTACATCAGGACAGAGCCCTCTAAGAGGGCTGAATTGTTGTAGTTTAATTTGAATTATTTCAGCACAATTCCACCCTAAATTACTGACTGTAGCTTATGGTCAGGAGGGAAATGACCCTAACAAGGTAGATTCTCATTGGCTTACATGTTCAGAGGCTATAAACCCAAACCACCAGAGTATAGGAATGCCACGGAGAAGCACCTGCCATATGCTTCCTTTGTCATCCTCATCACACAGCTGTTTCTTGCTGTGAAGTTGCCATGAGTATTAATACATTTTGTGACTCCAAATCCTACTATATTTGTTAATTTCTGTAGAAGAAATCATAGCATTAACAGTTCAGATAAATGAATATACATAAAATGGCCAAATCATCTAGTAGCTATTCAAAGGCCATTTTAACAGCTAGTCTGCATGCTTCCCTGAACAAGGTGTGAAATCAAGGGTAACTTACTATTTCTCCTTAGGGATCGTCTCCGTACTACTACCAATGTCCTGGGAGACTCCAGCAGAGCAGGAATTGTTGAACATTTATCACGGCACGAGCTGAAGAACAGGGATGCTGAAATGGGTAATTCTGTGATAGAGGAAAATGAAATGAAGAAACCATACCAATTGATCTCACAAGAAAATGAGAGTGAGAAACCATTAGATAGTGAAACCAAGATGTAGGGTGAAGAAAGCATGAGTCCAACACTACAAGTGTGGAAAACACATGTTTTTTCCAGCCATTTATATCTTGAATTCACCAAGTTCACTTATTCCTTGTTTTCTCCCTTTATGCTAGTACTGAAAAGAATTAATGAAAATATATTCCAAATTAGCAGGATCACAGTATATGTTGGCTTCCCACTTAAAAAAAATTAACAGGCAACAGCACTGGTCCTGCTAGACATGTGCTAACTGAGGATAAAAAAAGAGAGATTATCAGTTAAATAAAAACAAAAATCAGTGTCTATGTTACTCTGTCCTGTGAACCTTTTTTTTTTTTATATATATATGAACTGGAAAGTAAAAACAGATAACAGAGCCTGAAAATGGTTTTATTTTTTTAAATACCTGTTGCAAAATTCCTAACATCTATAAACACACAATCAATACTTCTAACTTGATAACTGCATCCAGCTAAGTAAATTAACAGGATTTTTGCTTTTTTATCTGATTTTTTTTCTAGTGTTATATTGTTCGAATACTAGCAGGACAATAAAAAGAAGGACATTAATTGAAAGGATAAAAAGGGGGAAGATATATAAATAAAGAAAAAAATACCCAGGATCACCACTTTTATCAGCTGAGTTGAAATATTTCTGAGAAAGTTATTTTATCTAGACACAGTTTTTCACATTACCTTCAGCTGATCAGGACAAAAACTTAGCCTAGTCAGCTCCCACTGACTTGCAAACATTTATGTATGTACCTCCAATCTGGATTTACCCCCTTAATTTCAACATCACAACTCAGCTGAACAATATATGTGTGTGTTTGTAGGAGCAAGGCCCTAGGCTGAGACAGAAAATGTGTCCTCATCTCTGTTTGGAAAAAAAACATAGCATGCTCTGGGTACGCCAATTATCTACTTAATAAGCAATAATAAGAATAGAAAGCAGTGCCAGCCTTCTGCAGAAGCTGCAGAAGGGTGAGATGCTCAGATCCTGAAGGGACCGGATTCTAAATCTGAATCCCTGAGACCAACAGGAGGTTTTCTGATTGGAAACCTCCCAAATGCTTGGTCAACCCACTGATAAGTTATAGAGCTATTAGCTGGATTTACACTTTTCCATCTGGAGATGAAGGCTCCCTATCTCAATGTGAAATTTCAAAATCTTTTTGTGTTTATCAGTAGCATCTCAAAAAGAAAAAATAATCCTTTAGAAAATAAAACTAATGGGTGCTTTTTTACTTTTTACTAGGAAAAATATATAAACTGCAAAATAGTAAATACTATAATAAATGTTGAAATTTTAATTAGGAAGGATTTTAAAGCGCAATATTGTAGGTTTCTTTCAGGGAATGCAAAAGGAAAAAGGGAGACAATGCACTTGTTATCCTGTGGGGATTTTTGTTCATTTCAATATTATTCCCTGATGAAGCCCTTTTCTAGAAATATAAATTATGTATTTTTTTCTTTTTGCCTTGTATTATTATAGAGGTTAAACTGGAAAGTTTTATAATACAGTTACAGTTGGGGGAATGAAAAAATATTAATCAACAGGCACAATAGTGTTGAGTGATCTTTTTTACTAAAATGTTTGGTTGTCTTCTTTCTCCCTCCCCCTATCAAAATATTCTGATGATGGAAATGAAGGATTCCCTTGCAATGTCCCAGTTGCCACTAAAAAAAACATTCAATATGTTGCTTCTGTCACTAAAAGAACACAAATAAGGTGTACAAGTAACTGTAGTGAAAATGTCAGCATACTGGTTGAAGGCAAATCTTTTCCCAGGCAAGACTGCTTTTTTTAGGACTGAAAACTCCTGCCCATCTTCTCCAGTTGAGTAGCCCAGACAATACAAGCAGGAACTCTCCAGTGAATGCAGTGAGCAGGGATTAATACAGAGTATTGAGCAGTCAAACCAACAGAGCTCTAAATGAATCTCTGACCGAAAGAAAACAAGTATGGGGGGGTGATTTTTGCTAAAGAGAATGCAAATCTAGGATACAGACAGGCATTTTCTGATATGTAATTAGAGATATTTTTATATAGATACTGTATTCAGAATGTGTGTATAAACATTAACTGTAGAATTTATGGCATAACAATTTAATTTTTTGTTAAGATTTTGTTTGGAAATACATTGCAAAGACAATGTAAATGGCTGTCTTTCTATGACATCAGCTGAGAAAAATGAATTGTGTCACAAAGAATGGGATCTTTTTTTATACTAACTTTGTTTCTTATGGAAATCAGGTATTATAGAAAGATTCCCTTCCCCATCCCTCATTGGTTCTGCATTGGTATGCACCAGAGTGGACTGAGAAACATTACTTTGTAGATGTATTTTCAATAAAAATAGTTTTACATTACTGCTTTTTTGTGATTTAGAATTTCGTTCAAAGGCTCTGTAATAGAAGCTTCACACAAACTCAGAGGTGACAAACTCATACTATGGGATTTCAGGAATTCCAGGCCATTTTGGACAGCAAGGCTTTGATATAGCAGGGCTTTCTCACTTCAAATACTTGCTTACAGTTTCATGATCAAAAGTAAATAAGTAAAGGGGGGGAGGGAGGAACTTTAAAAATTAAAAGAACCAATGTCCATCCTACTGAAGTTCATTCACATTCAAGTATATAAATTCATATTGATATCTGCAAAATAAAAAAAAAAAAAAAAAGCATTTACATTTTCTTTGATTCAGCTACTGCAAAGCTGCCAGTTCATTTTGGATGTATAATTAGAAGATCCAAAACCCCCATCTACTGGGGTATTTCAGCGTCGTAACATTACAGCCATCTGAGACAATCCACTGTTTTTCTCACAGAAGTGATTTGTGATGGTGTCAGTGTTCATTCAGCAACAACTTCAGCTAGCAGTTACCATCTAATGGAAATGAATGTCTTGTCAGAAGGACCTGGAAGGTATAAAAGACAGGAGCTGAATCACTTGCACCTGGAAAGTTGTGTTGGTTGGAACAGATGGAGGCAGCAGGGAGAAGTCTTGCCTTCCTGAACATATACCAACAAACCACTGGACAATGACCTCTATGAGTTTGTCTGTGGTATTTTGAGTGAAAACAATATATAATGCAATCAGTTTTGTAAAATAAATTTCAGAGAAGACATGGTGTTCTAAAATGCATGAGCATAACTTCTCCCAATTTTTTTCTAGTTATCTACACATTCATTCACTCCATCCAGGTAACTATCTTTGTGTTTCTAGAATTACTGTCATGATAGGTAGAGCTAAAGAAAGAGGGTTAGTGTATCACTTGGAGATATTACTGGCACAGTGGCCTTGCCTACTCTTCTGTGCCCCCATGCAGAACAAAGATCTCTGGTATTCCATAATTTTTCAGCAGTGTTTTCATTTGGACGTTGGGGTACGAAACAGCCGTGTCCTTCTTAGGCAAGAATTTATGTCCCTGTAACAGTGTGTGGCCAGTATAAAGCAAAGTGATCATTCATGTGGAAAATCAACTACTGGCACAGGAAAGCATTTCTGTTTTCCCTTCTGAAGGACTGAAATCGTACAAGTGACATTTGTGTTCCAACGCAGGCACAACTGATAAGAAATTTAGGGCATTTTTTTTCAACTAACCCTGTAAGACGTCCTCCGTTTCACAAAGTTACAATGGAAATAGTACAGAGGAGTATATCTTGCTTCCAGTGTGATCAACAGTGTGCTAGTTGTGCTAGTTGTGATGAACAATATATGATCAACTTGCTTCTAGTGTGATCAACCATTTCCCAGAACAGGATAAAAAACCTGAGATGAACTGATATATCACTCCCTGTCTGGATTTCTGTGTCATCTTTTTAAAGAGATTGGCCTACTCTGGAAGCACGGAGTAAGATGGAGAAAGACTTGTACACCTCCATGGCAAACTGAAAACCCAGACTTGCAATATCAGTGAGGCAGCAAGATCCCTTCTGATAACAGAGAGAGCTGTAGTCAGATGATATAATCCTGCATGGTGAGCCCTTTCCTTTCTCCTCTTCCCCCACCTGGCTCCTCAGATGACTCTAAGATACCCAGAAGTATCTAAAATTCCAAAATTTTAGTACAGGAGCACTTGCATCTCTAACCAAAGTTTTTTTTCAACATGCCTCATTACACAACTAGGGCTGCACAAATAATTGATTTTTCACTTCAGTGAGAGAACTGAAAAACTGGGGAGAATAATTCTTCCAGGGCATCATGAAACAATTCTTTTATTGTGTAAAAAAGAACAGTCTCTTTCAGGTATAATGAAATGTTTCATTCTCCACTTAGTTATATTAATGCTTTTTCTTTGCTCTTTACAACTTCCTTTCTCCAGACATTGCACATTTTTCTGCTCTCTTGACTGCTTTGATTTTTTCTTCACTGTACTACTGGGTATTTAAAATTCCTGATATTTGATAAGCATTATAAAAAGAAACTATTTCCTGATATTTCTCCAATATTGATACTATTACTCTTGCTCCTAAACTTGTGTTAGTTTCCTGCATCCTGTTTTTTGTAATGCCTCAAACGGTTTCCCATTTTCTGCAGTACCATATTCCTCTCTCCATCTATCCCACTTTCTCTCTTGGCTTTACTCTTCATTTTTACAGTTTGCCCTCCAAGAACTCCCCTGCAGCAGGTCTTCATAAACCCAGATTCTGGTCTCAATGGTATTCTTACTCTCCCTCATAAACCTAGACACGACTCAGGCTTTCTGTGTTTTGGTTGCTGACCAATAAAATGGGGACAATAGCATTGCCCTAGAACCAAGGCTGTTTCCAGAGAAATCAAGATTGTGGAGATCCCGTACAATGAGGCTGGGTCATTGAGCCCGTACAATGAGGCTGGTACAAGGACACACACAAGGACACACACCTGGGTCACATCTCGTGCACCATCCAGACCCTGAGAATTTGCCCCTAGTGCATAGGACCTTTGTACTATTCTCTCCTACGCTGTACACACTTAAGGTGTATTTAAGAATTTATACTACCTTCTCTTCAAAACAAAACTTAAATGAATTTG